TAAATAGAAACACTGCAGAAGAAGATGGATAAATCACGAGTCTTATACTTGTTGGTTATAAAAATCAATACTAAAAGCACTCTTTTAGCACTCAAATACCAAAGTTTCAGTGTGATTTTCAACATCATATTCATGAATTGTTTTCAATTCCTATATCCGGGAGTGAATTATTTTACATTAAAAGTTTACTTTTTACGTTTCCAGTGAAGAGATACTATTCTTTTGCTGCCCTAAGCAAATGGCTAATCTTTTATTTCGCTCGAGTAACCACATGAACTCATGACCTTTCTAAAGTTCATACATATTTACTTTTCATTTGAAAAAAAAGAAGAAAATTCAAAGTTTATTTAGGGGAAGGAACATATTTTGCTGATTTTTTTCGACCACATCCTTACAGAATGTAATAAATATATGAGCTTAGAATCTTTCACAGAGCTATTAATGTCGTTTTCACAGCACACTATATTAAAGTTGACCGTGACAGTAATAGCAATGCAGTTAATCGTTCACGCACTCTTGCGTGAATATCTACAAATAAAGTCTACTATAAGAAATGATCACATCTTCAAATCCTATTTTATTTGTCAATTTTTGAAGCGTCACAACATAAAGTGAATCAACAGAACACATTTTTTTTCTTCTACGGTTCAATGACTCAAGAAGTGGTACAGGTTCTATGTGACATCTAACCGCAGATGGTAACTATGGTAATTGCTCTTGTCTTTGTGCCACTTACTTTAATAAATAAACGTACTCAGATCCCTGAAGCATTTGACATTTTAGTTATAGTTATAGTTTATGTAAAATAGGTCAATTACCAATTTTGATTATTAGATACATGATGAAATGTTACGGGTGTTAAATCATCGGTCATTGTAAATCAAAACACCTTTAATTCAGAACTTTCATGAGTAATTTTCAAAACAGAAAATTAAGACAACGCCAAAAAGAGTCATGGCTGTTGTCAAACACAAGAGGATAAACGTGTCTTACTTTCATTTACTAAAATGTCTTTTCTAGGAATATGGGAATAAAACTTTAATATAACAGGGTTTGAAATTGTATTTCTATATCGTGTTTAAAATTTGTTTTATCATAAAACCTTTTACAAGGAATTGTATTGCATCTTTTGTGACAAAGTAGGGATTATTACAACATCGATGGGGGTAAAATGTAATTTTTCTTTACTCTCATGCTGGGAGTTATGGTTATAAGCAAAGCTCCGTAGAATAATCCAATGAAACAGATTCTTGGAAAATAAAGTATCATTGTCATGTTGTAGAAATAGAGAAAATTTTTTTCGGTCAAAGATTAAATAATGTCGTAGGCTTTAGACAGATACGGTATAGCGTGAGTCAGAAACGTGATTGCATGCTCTCCATTATGATCTACCTTGAACTCTTCAGAAGTGACTTTTAAGACATCTTGGTCTCACTTGAACGTTTCAGAAGTGAAAATTCAGACAATTTGGCCTCCTTTGATTATTTCAGGAATGAAAATTAGGAAAGCTTGGTCCTCGGTGAGATTGCTGATTGACAACGCTAAAATTCAGGGTTCGATTTCCCGCAGTGTACAGAGTGCAAATAGCCCATTCTGTAGCTTTGCTATAAATGGATACCAGAAAAAATAACATACGTTAGTCTTTATTTCTGAATACTATATTTTCATGAAGTGAATAAGACACGTAAATAAAATAACTACACATTATCTCATTTTAGAAATGATGTATGCTCTTGTTAATAACTCTTTATGTTTTATTCCTTTAAAAACATACACACACACACATATATATATATATATATATAT